ATGGCCGAACAGTCTAGGTCACGTGGTACGTCAAGCTACGCGAGAGGACGTCGTAAAAGACCTCGTAACCTAGATATCGTGAGTTCAAGACGCAAAAATTATTGCTCCTTGTGTTTTCTCACTAATTGTCGTCTCTCGTGGTTTGGAGTACACATATTTGGTTCTTACAGTAGGGATGACAGCAGTCGAAGATGGCCGAAGATGAGTGAAGATCTTACCGTAAACCTTTAAGCAATTTGATTGGTTCCTCAAAGCATCTTCGGCTATCTTCGTGACTTAAACATTTTCGGTTATGGTGCACCTGTGCTCTCACGTCACAATGAAGTTGCTTTGTGTTATCCGAAAATCTCGGCCCTCTGCGGTTTTTCCATCCTTCAAACACAGGGCTCCAAACATCATCCACACGTGTTCTTTCTCCCCCGGCCTTCTTTTTCCGAGTTCGAAGGATGGGTTTCTCATTTCAAGTTTCACTTCGGCAAGTCAACCTTACAGCTTCGTTTGGAGGTAGAATTACAAAGAGCTTGTAAATAAACCAGAATGGCAATCGCCAACCACATGTTGAGGTTCTAAGAGCTCGAAAGCAAAGCCAAAACTCACACTATTCACATGAATCTATGGAATAACATTGCAGATATAGCCCAAACGAAACACTTTCGAGTGAGGTTCTATTTCAAACCCAGCATCTACAATGACTTGGTTGATTTAACCTCAAGTTCACTTACATTGCAAAAAAAAGAAAATAACCAGTTTGCTGTTTTTAATCAAAGATAAAATCCATCGGGAGAGATGAAAGGTGCTAGTTCTGAACGTATTATTACCGGTAGTTTACTGTATATTCCCAAAGTAGTACAAAATGTCAACGTAAACAATGGTAATAAATGCATTATGGCGTGCTTTAATGGTACGTGATAGTAGTTTTCTACGAGTGATCATGAGTTTAACTTCAGAGTGATTGGAAATCCAATTATAAATAAGAATTCGCTTGTCATGTAGCAAACAATCAATTGTACACTTGAGAAAATACCTTATTTTATGATCTATACATGATTGTACTTTTAAAACCAGTGTGCTATATTCCTTCAAACATAGTATGTAATACCTTGCAATTGATGGGTCAAGATGTTTACTATTTGGGTTCTTTGACTAACAATGCAAACACACCAAAACGTGAACCATCACACAAAGAAGGCCTATGATTATATGTTCATGTACTGACAAATAAAATGAGTATTAAAACCTAAACAGAAGATGCAGATTCTAAATATGTAAAACTCAAGACAACGTATTGAGTTTGCATGTCTGTTGAGGTATTCTCTTAAGATGATATAATATGCTTGTCTGAGCGTGTCCAAACTTGTCACGGTGATTGACATATGAAGTTCTGACAAGACCAGGCACGACAGGGCGAAACCAACCGAGAAGGTTAAGGTAATAATGTAAGATCAGCCAAGACAATGATTAACAAGGAAATATGATGTTCCGCATGAAGCTACAGATATGACGGCTCAAAATCATGTACATGTAGTTGATGATAAAATCAGATATGTAAGAATGGGCAAAATGAGATCTAGATAAGTTTGTGCAAGACCAGACATGTCCAAGCGATGTCAAACAAGACACGACAGGACTAAAACTGTTGCAGTCAAGACTTCGAATATGATAATACAGAACAACGCAACAAAATAAAAAGATCGAGTTGCATAATTATCGGATAATATGAGAGGACAAGTTGACAAGATCAGGCAAGATCTGGCTGACAATTTACAAAAACACAGAAAATCTGCAAGATCTTTGCAAGATCAGACAAAGTTCGACAAATTTAATATCCTGTGACAAGGTTCAACAAGACGAGACAAATAAATTCAAACAAGTCCATTTGCAGAGACAGCTTCAAGGACAACGTTAAGGCGCAGTTTCTGCTTCTAATATAATGACGGACACCAATGTACTATTCGTGGGTCATATCCATCCTAACAAGGGTAGCATATTCGACGCCTGCCAAGCGTGTCATGATAACATCATAACACTAGACAGGTCATTGAAACATAAGCTCCTTGGCCCGTTCTGCACGACTTGGCATGTCCAGACGTGTCAATAAAAGATTTCTCAAGATCAGCAAGTCGTTGAGCAAGACAGTTTCAAGTAGACATCTCGGAAATAAATGTGAATTCGCAATGGCTATTACAGAAATAAATCCAATACATGGATGGCATTTAAGTAAGATGACAGAGAAATGCCAGGAATTAGAATAACAAATCAAACTAAGATATTGTCATCATCCGACATCACTGCAGTTATTGGCCTTCTTTCAAGGATCCATTTAGCACGATCATAAATGTATATAAATCAGGACATTGACGCAAACCTTGTTTCAGGTCGCCAATTAATGTTTAATCCATATAGAACAAATGCTATAAGGTAGATTTGTCAAAATCTAAGAATTATCATTATCATCATTATCATTTTTTACCTTGATTCTGTACTAGGATAAATTTATACTCGATATAACTTAATGATATCGGAAATATCTCATTGTGAAGCCTTTAGTCCCAACTGTGATATTTTACAGTACAGAGTTAGGAATGTGAACTGACCTGGATGACATCATCAAAAAGTGTGTAGAATCACAAATTCACTGTTTACATAAAGAGGTCAAAGTCTCATTCCAAGGAGGATTGGCTCCCAGAGTGCAACATCGATATTCCGTCCCATATATGGGTATGTCGTGATTCAAAATTCGAATTCAAACAGCCGCCATTTTGTTCACTTCAACATTTGAATCGTGAATTTTGGTCTCGTTTTTTAACGACAAATTCTAAAACTCACAAGAAATTATCGGGATATTGGTTCGAATCTTTTGAACAATCACAATCTTTGGAACAGTCACAATCTGAATATAGATCACATGACTTATAAATGGAAAATCATTAAATCAAATTTTAGAAATCAGAATATTTTCCTTCAGTTAAAAATGCAGTGAGTGAAAGTCTTACACAATGCAGAATAGGGAGTTTAAGCTTGCAATGTTTTTCACATCCTAAACGTGAACGGAAAATATTTAAACGATGCATTCGTATGGGCGCGATTGGTCATGCGTAAAAGTTTCGATTTTATATGCAGCTTAAACCCCCTATTAGCTATTATCACGAAACATGATATCACTTGTTTTTTATAAAACACATCATAAAATCCTAACCAGTGATGAAACAAGCAATGTCAAATTACCCCATTTTCATTAGCCCCTGGTCAAATTTTGAATGGCTCGGAATAATCTCTGGCTATACTTGTATAACATTACCGCACAACATTCATGAGTTTAGAACTGATTTCTTTGATCGAGTTTCAATAGTGCATGAAATACTTCGCAGTGACCATACCACTTTAATTATTCAAGACGATTTTGAGAACATTTTAGACAAATTAGCTTCGCCATTTGATCGTTTGGGAGAGTAGTATTCAATCATGTAGTATTCAAGATGCCATGTGAATTAGTGACAACCCTAATTAAACTGTGTTAGGATCAAAAAGTCCATTTCTGTGTTGACACTTTCTGTAGTAATTCTTGTCACCCTTGCTAAGTCCATGATTGATGGAATACCCAAGCTGAAAGATTTATCTCAAGTAAATCAGATTCTGCTTGATTTATTGGATTTCCTCGGAGCTGGATTATTAAGTAACTAAACTTGATTTGAGTGACGAAGTTTGATTAAAGTAACAACATAGAGTGCGTTTATAACAAGACTTGAATATGGGTTCATGATTTTTGAAGTATCAACGCTTGATGAAATGAGCAATTAAGTTAGATTTGGCAACAAAGCTTGATTAGGGATTCAATATTTATTGGGGAAACAATGTCAGCTTTGACATTTGCCAACTACAATACGAGGGCCGTTCTTGTTGAAGAGCTAATATAGGTAGAAATACGTCACTCAATTCTCCTAAAAATAAGCAGAATTTCCTTCTGAAATCACACATTATTTTATACGCTTCGAATCTCCGTAAGTGTGCTTTATGAAAGTCTAATATATGAGGAATTCGAAACTAGCGAACATAGTAAAGTGGATACGAAAAGTGAAACATTTGTGAATGAGTTACTAGCTCTGGAAGAAATAAAGCAACAAGTTCCGACATATTAATGCGCCAAAGTCAGGTGTCTTGAACATTTATTGCAAGGACTCTATTAACTCTTTCCTTTGCTATGTTTCTTGTGTCCATTAAATGTGAACTTAAGTAATCTGAGAACAGGTTCCAAAAGATTTACTGGTAGCGCTTACGAGAGTTGAAACGAATTGACTGCCATAAACCGAAGAAGTTTGTTAGTTTGATCGTAAGTCAAAAAGCCTTGGTTATTAGGAAATATTGCTCTGTGGATTGAAACTTTCATGATAAAAAGTACTCTTGATAAGAGCAGGCTTTGTACATGAAAGAATTACGCAATTCAAAAATAGATTAATAACCTATCAGACACGAGTGTGATATTACAGCTATCGTTTTGCGATTAATAATTTCTTGCGCAAATCTTTTGATTTATAATTGATTGATATGTTAAGTTTCAAAAGAGCCCAAAAGACCGAACAGTAGACAAGTTCCTTCTCCAAGTTCCGTATTTTAAATTATTGATATGGAATTGTCGACCCATTGTCATGCAAATAGGGCAAAGTGGAAGAAGCTTTGGGGAGCTTTTATAGGGGGCTTTTTCGACAGACTCTTCAAATTGCGATGGCTTTATATCAGTTCCATTGATTGTAATGACTTCCCACTGTGAGTTATCAATGTGTGGAAAAGTTGCATGTGATCTGAAAGGAGTCGCGTGTACAAGATGAGCTGAGAAGAATGCCACTGGGTAATTTTTAGACAATGAACATTCAAAGTATGACATTCAAGCATTAAATTGAAATAGAATTTAGATATCCGGTGCTGCCTTTCATTTTTTCCTGTTATTGCAGCACCATGCGGATTAACCAAAGATCAAACGCAAGCAGGACTATACTGGTACATACCTATGGTGGTTATCACGGTGATAGAATATAACAGGGCGCCAGCAAAAGTCCACTGTCTTTCCCCACTGTCCTTTCCATCTGACTGCCCGTCCCAGCCATCATATTTCACTGCTACCCTAATCTCTTCTTGGAAGTCCTTCATAACATCATCTGCCATTAGACTCCAGTTTTTCTTATATAATATATTTAATCGTTCTGTCAAATTCCATAGTCTCTCGACATATAGTTTTCGAGTTTTATGTACCCCATGGCTTACAAGTTCTTCCTGGGGAGATTCTAGTGACATGAAAATGAAGCCGCCAAATATTGAGTAGGCGACTACTAAGCACATAAGTCCGATATGAGAGAATAGAAATGCTGTGAATTTTTTGCAGCATGTTTTACATTGTCTAGATCGACGGATCCGCGTTGCTGATTTGTCTGATATTGTTTGCGCCATTGCCGGAGTTGTTTCATCCGGGTCTTCTTCCCCGGGGTCATCAACATCCGGGTTCTCCAAGTTCTTATCCAATGCATGTGTGGGAGTGTCGTCAGGTGGTACATTGCGACAGCAGGCACAGCACCTCGAGCGTTCCCGGCATGAACTGCTCTTGTTACCCATCAGTCACCACTATCTGGAAATAGTTTGATAAGGCGATTTAGACTTCAATTCATGTTTTAATACCTGTTCGTTTGAGTAGGGTTTTTGTAACATTTTAGATAATTGCCACTCCAGGACTGTTTCAGTATGAGGATAAATTGTTGACACCTTCTGCCGTGTAAGCTGTCAAATCTCAAAGCTTTGCCATAAATCATTGATGCCTATATCCCATGATAAATTATAAATATATTCATAACAATTGAACAATAAAATACCTGTACTGACAACCGCATTGACACGCTATAAATAAACAAGGCATCAACAAAACAAACTGGATCACCATAACCTATTTCTAAAGCTACATGTTCCCCTTGATGCATTTGAACGTCTAGTCAGCTTTCATAGTTTAGTGATACACATGTACTTTATACAGTAAGTATAGTATAAAATTATTCCAAGAAAAAGGCAAAGTTGCAGTGAACAATTCAAACAATTACAATGAATATTTCCAAAACGCACAATTGATATAACGATGCATTCTTTGCCATGATCGGAAATACACTCTCTCCAATGCATATCTATCAAATGTAAAGATTCATAGGGCAAAATCGGTAGAAAATCTCTCAAACAATATATGATTACCAAGTTTATAGAAAAATGGGAAAAAATCTAAGTTCCATGGAATACATGAAAAACTTTGCTTTTTAAAGATAGTATAGGTTTAAATAAAAAACGAAACATAATCACAAATACAAAATGTAAAAATATCAAGAGGAGTCAAAATTGTTTCCGATAATTGACAATAAATAATTAATAAAGAAAAAATAATGATAAAGAAAAAAGTGTTTGCTTGGGAATACCTCGCCCTATTGTTTCAAACTGTTGAAAAGATCACGCTAACCTAAAGAGAATAGCTTCCTATGCGGATATTAACTTGATCTGATCGGAAAGAAGATTCCGATTTATGAGGATGATCGGTTAAATTATGACTTTCTTCACATTTTTCATCGTTGGATTATGACATGCTGCATTCCTTACGCTTTGTATCTGTGTAATCAAAGATCAAAATTCCTTTATTATGTAATCGGAATTCCAGCCTGGGTTTTCTCATATTCTAGCCCTGCATACTTCATATCAAATTACATATTTTAGCATGGGTTTATTTCGAGTATCGAAGTCGGGATTTTGAAATAAAAGGCGTGAAAAGTTCGTCCCTTTAATTGTACACTTTAGTTTATGATTAGACTCTGCGCGCAGGGTAGAAAATTCAGACCAACTGGGCAATTCTTGTTTTAAAAATGAAATCCTTTAGTATGTAAATAACAACGTGATTGGATATCTTCCTTTAAATGTTTTCGAAGTCGTTATCTAATTTCAATGTTATATGATATTTTAGGCATATTCACGCAACGGATCCGATTGATTCTAAATTATTCCTGTGGTATGACAACGGGCGTATCTCTACTCTACTCGTGACAGCTTAGTAAACGGTTGATACACATTGATGAGATATCGGATTCTGTTGAGATAGCATCCACTTGCAGAATCATGTCCCACTAACCGTAATCTGCGCAAAACAGAAAAATAACATTTTTATCGATATTAGTAAAAATGCACATTGCAAGCTGATTTGAGAATAAAAACCTTAAATGCCTCAAACTACCGTGATTAATCTAGTTATGTCAATGTAAAACAGCTTTAGATACATTACCAACCCTCAATTGGACGTTACATGATCCCCGGGGATTACGCAACCGGCCGCTATAAGGATCCTGAAAACACACTAAATTAAATACAAATCGTCCTCATCAAAGCAACGTGTTTCTAAATATGACCATTGAGGATCGAAAGAGATATTTTTCTCATTTGTATCTCGACTTGATCAGCAATAGAAAACCCGTGGTGGTATAAACAGCTCTAATCGGCCTGTATGACTGCTCATAAGGTGCCAAACAGGGAAACAGTTTGACAAACTGTTTTTCTGGTGCCACATTTATGAATTTGAATTGCCCGATCAATCTCAAGAATAAGTATATCCACTAGACGGCAATATACGCGACTACACTTTTATATGATTAAATGATTTGCCTCTTTATTCCATTGCCGGCCTATTGACCCCATCGTGGTGATAAATCACGTCCGATTCCAACAAACTAGCACTTTCGTACACTCATTGATTCTTTGGTAAGTGGATGCCAAATCATGTGTAAACAGCACAAAATCACGCTTTAATTAATTTGATAACCAAATGTAAGTCTTCGTATGTATTTTGACTGTTTACTGTTTAAAGTCGTCCTGAAGTATAGTTAAGTACTCTGAATCTAACTTTAAGTCCTGAAAGTTTAAGACGTCAGAAAACCAATCAAGAACACGTTTAAGTAGTCTAAAGCTAGCCGTACACCAATGGGAAGACTTCTTATAACCAAATACGAGTTATTTAAAAAAATCAAGGACGGTGCTCGAAGTTCTGCGACAAGTCTAAATAAACAGATGTGTTTAACATTCTTGGTAGTCACAGAGACAAGTTAGTCTTAAAAGTTATTCAAGACATTGAAAAATATCGTGCATGTTTATGATATAATTAAACTTTTATTTTTTTAAATCAGTTTATTGGCACCGCTGACAACCAAAAGTCAAGTCCAAGTAGATATTAGATTACATGCGAGGTAGAATTAAATAAAACAATGCATTAAAATGACACTGTCATCACATGCAAAGTGTTACAAAAGTGAAACAATTGTTACAGGTGAAGGTCAACCAAAAGTCAACTTTCAAATATTTAGTCAGATTTGAACGCCAACCGCCGAGCACCGTCCACAAAAATGTTGAAAATGTCCCCACTTGTCCCCACTGTTTTTGGTGACATAAAAAGAGCAACCTAACTTGCGACTCTATGAACAAATGAAAACCTAAGACAAATCAGATCACCCTCTCGATCAGATGTACGATTTACATGTAAAAAACGGCAAACATGACACAAGTCAATTAAAATAAGTAAGTACCACACAAAGTTCTCAACTCTCAAAAGACTAATTAGTTGGCCCAATTAGAAGCTGTCAAATGTAACATCCAAAGGCATTGTCAGTAGTATCCCTAGAGTATAGACATCTAGTACATCCCTTACAACTGACACAACACATTGTCGGTTGGCCTTGTTCAAATCAAAAATATGTTTAACGGTGCCTGCTTTGTCATTACATCGCTCTGTATTCAAACTACCAAGGAACTGATCATAATCTTCCGCGAGCCCTCCCTGGTCAAATTAATTTGAAGATGCATTTCTCTCAGATTGAAATTGTTCAGAAACAATTGTGAATTTCGAACATAAAAAGACTGAAGCCCATAAGCCTCCTTGCACGTCATTTATAAGATGTAATTTTGCTAAACAGACGATCAAAATGGCGGGGTCTACTGCTAATTTAAGTTTTATTTAAGACAAGAGCGATTACTAAATATATCATTACACCATCCGTTGTCCACCGCATTCGTAATTGCACTAAGGGGCTGTTTGTGCCACATTACCGGAACTAATGTGTCAAATTCGTAATTAGTTCCTCGTTTCTGGTGAACTTATGTGTAGAACTGTGATATTGCTGTAGATCTCAATACGTTATGTCCAGATCAATGGGGAGTGAGAATTAGTTAATTATTAGACTGTACGTTTATCAAAATGTAGACGTATGTATTTTTAAACAACTGGACCTGTATATGAATCCGAAGAAGTTGGGTTCTAAAAGGATATCGTATATTAAATTGGAACATAAATATGTACTTTTTACGGAATGGACAGATAAGAATACCAAAAAACGAAATCTGTCACCATGAAACAAATCCAATATCCAAAACTAAGATTTAAATAACAGTGTAACGATGTCTGAAATACTAATGAGTAATATTTCTGAGTTCATATTATGGCACGTTAGAAAATATGTTTTTCTTTGTCATGATTAAAGATGATTATTTTCGCTCAAATAAGTTGTAGAAATAGAGCACTTAACTATTTGTTTAATGCTTAATGCAAAATGTTTATTAGCATAATTTTACGCTGTGATGTTATAACTTCGCTAGTCAATTAAATTCACAACGAAAAGTCCACCTAAAAAGACTTTCCATAAACCCGAAGTTTCTGTTGATATTCCTAACCGAGTTTAGCAACCATTGAGAAACGAGTTCAGCAAACGATACCAAATAATTGATATATCACATCTTATTCTGGGAAATATTGCAATTTTACGTAGAAATATTTCATAGATAGATTTCTAGCCATTTATCTAGTTATATCCAGCTATCTAACTGCAACATCACTCCACAAACATGTGTGTTTATCTATTAGTGTAATGCGTCGCTGTAATTGAGAAGGTCTGTGCCGTTACTAGACGATCCTATCATGTCTTTCTTTCATGAAACTCTAATTACGTCCTTCTTTAGCATTTACATACATATTTATAATATTGAAATATAGTAATCTTTAGGTTGTTTACCGTTGTTTCTATAGTGTAGGTACTACCTCCATACATTCTAACTCGCAAGATTTAGACATTTTACGTTCATTTACTTGAGCTAGCTATGTTTTCTTTATGGGGCTAGATTAAGAAGATGAAGACCTTCTCGGAAGCCTTACTAGAAGTGGTCCCATGTTCAAATAAATATTCTCCCATGGCACTTAGACGCGTATTCAAGCAAGCGCGCATTGTTTCATACTTCTTTAGTACTTTTGATCAATTTGCGGGTTCACGTGATGTGCTCAACCTAACCTGATTGTATTCTAGGTCAAATCAAAGGATTTAGGTTTCACTTCTGTTGAGATCATTTGTGGTTGAATGGTCATTATAGATGGATCCAAGTCATCGCACAATTTAAGAACAATATTCTATTCATACTACGAGACTTTCAGTCACGTGATATATTTGAACGATGTAGAATAGCTGCGCGGCCATTTTGCAAATCTCGAGGTCACGTGACAAAATATCAAACAACAACGAAAGTTATCGAATATTACTTCATTGCATTCGGTAAATAGCAAATTAGCTTTCG